GCCACTGCACTTCAGTCTGGGCGACAGAGTGAGACTCCAACTCAAAAAAAAAAAATTGATAGTAAACATCTTTTTTCTTAGATTTTTAAAAGTCTGTCATTGAGTTTTCTTTAAATGATTTCTAGTATTGGCATACTTGCCTTCAGTAAACAAAAGATGTGCTTTCATGTAGATTATCAAAATGCTGTGCTATGATTTGAAAATAAATAAAATAGTTAGTATGTATTTGCAGATACAGATAATTCTCAACCCAGAGTACTTTCGTTGTAATTATGAGAAAACAATGGGCCATTTTTATCATGAATTTTAAAAGCTGTAATTAAATGTAGACTAAAAGTTTACTGATATTTGTGTTTCTCATATACAGTTGTCTACTAAAGTTGATGAGGCCCGGGCTTGGTGGCTCAGTCTGTAATCCCCGCACTTTGGGAGGCCAAGGCGAGTGGATTGCCTGAACCCGCGGGTTCGAGACTCACGCAGGCAACTTGGCAAGACCTGTCTCTACACTAAATCAAAAATTAGCTGGGCATGGTAGCGCATGCCTGTAGTTCCAGCTACTTGGAAGGCTGAGGAGGAAGGATCACCAGGAACCCAGTAGGTCGAGGCTGCGGTGGCCAGGAGCATGCCACTGCACTCCAGTCTGGGTGACAGTGAGACTCCAACTCAAACAACAAACAAACAAACAAACAAACAAACAAAATAAAGTTGATGAAGGTAGAATATAACTTTATAAGCAAGATAACTTATTAAATTAGATGATTTTTAACAAATATCCTGAAATAACTAGAAAAAATATTATTCACTAAGAAATACTGTGTACTTGCACTGTATTCACTCATTTGTTGACATTCTATAATGTTTATTGTGTGCCTGGTAAGCAAAATATTCAAAGACAGTCTCTTCTGTAGTTTACAGGCTTGTAAGGGTAAAAAACATGTGATTATATAAGTATCTAATTAAAAACTGTAATCAGTACTGTGAAAAAAAGTGCCAGAACTTCAGTAGCATAGTGACAGTGTTCTATTCTGGACATTGAATCCTGAGAAAGTGAAATCCAAGTCAACATCTGAAGAATGAGCAAAAGTTAACTCACCGAAGCAGAGAGGAGAGAGAAAGAGAGTCTGGCCTTGTGGGGCTGTAAAAAGCATCACGGAAGACACAGAGCCAGGAGAGTGAAAGGGGCAAGTTATGCAAGACATTGTAGGCTGTGATTAAGAATTGGTTCTTCATCCAAGAGCCAAACAATAGGCTAAAGATTCTTAAATAGGAGAGGAAAGTACCAGATTTGCATTTTTGAAGAGGACATCTGGCTACTGTTTGGAAAATAACTTGGAGGAAGGTTTGAAGGAAGAGTGCAGGAAACTAGTAAGAATGCTGTGAGGATCAGTCATGAGGCTATAAAAATAGTCCCTACTAGGGGCACTGATAGCTTGGACTTGGGTGATTATAAGGAAGATGTAGAAAAATAGACGAATCAAAGAAATATCGAGGCAAGATCAGCAGGACTTTGTAATATGGTGAATCTTTGGGATGAGATCAAAAGAGGTGTTGGGAAGGGATCCTGTGTAGCTGACTTGCCATGACTGGTTAGATGACAGCAGCATTTCCTGCAGTAGGGAGGATTGTGCAAGGAGACTGGGTGGAAAGGAGTGGGTGGGATGGAGGTGAGAAGAGAGCAGAGGGCGAAGAAGATCAGAGTTCAGTTTGGGAGGATATTGATGAAATATCCAGAAGTATAAAGGGTAAAGGTATACACCAAGCCTTTGAGGGTCTTCTACCTTTAGTGGCCATGAAAAGAAGGATGGGTTCAGTGGCTCAGCCTGTAATCCCAGCACTTTGGGAGGCCGAGGTGAGTGGATTGCCTGAGCCCGCGGGTTCGAGACCCGCCTGGGCAACTTGGCGAGACCTCACCTCTACAATAAATCAGTAACTTAGCCGGGCGTGGTAGTACGCGCCTGTAGTTCCGGCTACTTGGAAGGCTGAGGCGGAAGGATCGCCGGAGCCCAGCAGGTGAGGCTGCGGTGGCCGGGAGCAGCTACTGCACTCCAGTCTGGGCGACAGAGTGAGACTCCAACTCAAAAAAAAAAAAAAGAAAGAAAAAGAAGAATGAATGAGTAGTGCCCATCACAAACACTATCAGACAGTTTAATATATACTTCTAACGCTCATGGGTATGTTCTTAGTCTAAAAAAAAAATCAGCCTTTTATGTTTAATGTTTACTCACTTACTATTACCTATAGCGGATGGCTGTTTAAATCTTATCCTTTAAATATGATTATTCACTCTTCATTGTTATTTCTTGAAATTTAAGGTGGTTTGTTGGAAGTGTTCTGACTACAAAGCTCAACTCGAGTATGATGGCGGTAAATTGAGCAAAGTTTGTAAAGACTGTTATCAAATAATAAGTGGATTTACAGACAGTGAAGAAAAGAAAAGGAGAGGAATTTTAGAGGTATGAAATATTAAATTTTGGATTTCTTTTAGGGTTTTACACAAGGAACATGGAATTCTTTTAACCTTACAGATTACAAGTAATATATTTTGTTACTTTGTTCTATATTGCTGACTTTTGGGATCCTACTTGGTTGAAAAGAAAGTTGGCTACTATGTTAAAACAACATGCACTCGGTGGCTCTGCCTGTAATCCCAAGCCTTTGGGAGGCTGAGGTGAGTGAATTGCCTGAGCCCGCAGGTTTGAGACCCGCCTGGGCAGGAAGACCTCATCTCTACAATAAATCAAAAAATCAGCCGGGCATGGTAGCGCATGCCTGTAATTCCGGCTACTCGGAAGGCTGAGGCAGAAGGATCGCCGGAGCCCAGCAGGCGAGGCTGCGGTGGCCGGAAGCGGCCACTGCACTCCAGTCTGGGCGACAGAGTGAGACTCCAACTAAAAAAAAAACCAACATGCATTTGAAAGTGAAATACATTGATTATGTGGCAGTAGCTATAGCCAAATATTGAGTATTAATTGGCATCTCTTCTAATGCGTAAATTATTATTATTATTATTTTTATTTTTATTTTTTTGAGTTGGAGTCTCACTCTGTCTTCCAGACTGGAGTGCAGTCGCCACTCCCGGCCACCGCAGCCTCGACCTGCTGGGCTCCGGCTATCCTTCCGCCTCAGCCTTCCGAGTAGCTGGAACTACAGGCGTGCACTACCACGCCCGGCTATAATGCTTAAATTATCATAGTATATTTTCTTTATGGGAAAACTTTTGTCTCAATTTCATCATATTGGCTTTTTAAACCACTATATATGATTTTTTAAATTTAGATTAAAGTACTATTTTATTACCTGAAAATCTCTTCCAACTTACTGCAATAGCCAATTCATTAGAGTTACTTAGTAGCCAGTGACAGTAATCTGATAACTCCATTGAAATATTATTGAAATATCTCCCAAGTGAGTTTGACTTATCTTTTAGAATAAACTCAGACCTTGAGCCTGAGAACTAAATGCACCTTGTATCTAAAATGAGTTTCAGATCCAGAAATATTAATAATATAAGGGATAAATGATAAATAAGACCCTTGTGGTGATAAGTTCAAGGTGACCTGGAAAGTCTGAAGAATAAGTGCAGTATCAAAATTCAATGTATCTAAAGTCACAGACATACTTGGTTTATTAAGAATTTCTAGGCTGGGCTCAATGGCTCAGCTTGTAATCCCAGCACTTTGGGAGGCTGAGGCAAGTGGATTGCCTGAGTCCACTGGTTCGAGACTAGCCCGGGCAACTTGGCGAGACCTCACCTCTACAATAAATCAAAAAAAATTTTTTTTTCTAAATATAGCCTTCCTTTGGGCCAGAACCACTATCTTCCAGTAATTCGCCAAAATGACAAACACAAAAGGAAAGAGGAGGACACCTGGTACATGTCTTTCAGGCCATTCAGAAAACATGGAGTTGTTCCTTTGGCCACATGCATGCGAATCTTCAAGAAAGGTGATGACATTGTAGACATCAAGGGAATAGGTACTATTCAGAGAGGAATGCCCCACAGATGTTACTATGACAAGACAGGAAGAGTCTACAACGTCACTCAGCTGCTGTCGGCATTGTTGTTAACTTGTAAACAAGTCAAGGGCAAGATTCTTGCCAAGAGAATTAATGTGCGTATTGAGTATATTAAGAATTTAAAGAGTCAAGATAACTTCCTGAAACACATGAAGGAAAATGACCAGAAAAAGAAGGAAGCCAAGGAGAAAGGCATGTGTGTTCAGTTGAAACTCCAGCCTGCTCCACCCAGAGAAGCATACTTTGTGAGAACCAACAGATAGGAGTCTGAACTGCTAGAACCTGTTCCCTGTGAATTCCTGGCTTAATAGGTGTCAAAAATAAAAGATCTCAGCCGGGCTCGGTGGCTCAGCCTGTAATCCCGCGCCTTTGGGAGGCTGAGGTGAGTGGATTGCCTGAGCCCGCAGGTTCGAGACCCGCCTGGGCAGACAAGACCTCATCTCTACAATAAAATCAAAAAATTAGCCAGGCGTGGCAGCGCGCGCCTGTAATTCCAGCTATTCGGAAGGCTAAGGTGGAAGGATCGCCGGAGCCCAGCAGGTTGAGGCTGTGGTGGCCGGGAGTGGCCACCGCACTCCAGTCTGGGCAACAGAGTGAGACTCCAACTCAAAAAATAAAAAAATAAAATAAAAGATCTCTGGGCCTTTAAAAAAAAAGAATTTCTAAAGAATAAGTATGTATGGCTGGACTCGGTGGCTCAGCCTGTAATCCCGCGCTTTGGCAGGCTGAAGTGAGTGGATTGCCTGAACCTGCAGCTCGAGACTCGCCTAGGCAACTTGGTGAGACCTCATCTCTACAGTAAATCAAAAAATTAGCCGAGCATGGTAGCATGCACCTGTAGTTCCAGCTACTTGGAAGGCTGAGGCGGAAGGATCGCCGGAGCCCAGCAGGTTGAGGCTGCAGTGGCTGGGAGCGTGCCACTGCACTCCAGTCTTGGAGACAGAGTGAGACTCCAACTCAAAAAAAAAAAAATTAGTATGTATGTATTGAGAATTTATATTGCATATGTGTACCAAGGTCATTTCAAGGAACAGAAGAGGGATCGAAAACTTCAAGGTTAAAGTGTAGGCCCACAAGCTAAAAGTATAATTCTGAATTCTGGGGTATAGATGGTACCTGAGTGGCAGACAGAGTGGGACTTTCTTGGTCAGTGAGGGTGAAAGACATGCTTCGTTGGGCACCAGCAAAACAGTCTCATCCTCAATCCTTAGTAGCAACAACTGATGAGACTGGCAAAAGATAGTAAATCAAAATATAGGGTGAGCTTCAGGCTATATCTTTGAAATAAAAGTCTCTAGCTAATTTTCTAGAAAACTTTGTGCTTAGGAAATAATTAATCAGTTGTTTATTAGGTCAATTTATTTAATCAAATATATAATATGAGTCCATAAGTAGGAGATAAATGTCCCACGCACACACACACTTAAATACACATTTGAGACTTATTTTGTACCAACTAGTATGTTATATGCCCTAGAACAGTGGGCGGCAAGCTTTCCTGTAAAGCAGGGGTCTCCAACCCCCGTGCCATGAACTGGTACTGGTCTGTCGCCTTTTAGGAACCAGGCCACACAGCAGGAGGTAAAAGCAAGCAAAGCTTCATCTCTATTTACAGCCACTCCCCATTGCTCATTGCTCGCCTTACTGCCTGAGCTCCGCCTTCTGTCAGATCAGCAGATCAGCACTGGATTCTCACAGAACCACTAACCCTATTGTAAACTGCACATGTGAGGGATCTAGGTTACACGCTCCTGATGAGAATCTAATGCCTGATAATCTGAGATGGAGCTGAGGTGGTGATGCTACTGCTAGGGAATGACTGCAAATACAGATTAGCATTAGCAGTGAGGTTTAACTATAGAGACCATAATAAATCTGTCACTTGCAGATTCATATCAAAACCCTATCAGTAAGTGGCAAGTGGGTTGGCATGCTTCAATTGTACATCTGCATCCGGTGGCAGGCTTAAAGTCAGAATCTGAGTCTTGTTTTAGTCTGCACGTGGTCTGCCCATTATTTTATTTACCACTTCTGGCCATGCCTCTTTTCTATGGCAAATTGTATAATCATTTCATTATATATGATAATGTAATAATAATAGAAATAAAGAGCACAAAAAATGTATACTTGAGTTATCCTAAAACCAACCCCCATTCCCCCGGTCCATGGAAAAATTGTCTTCCATGAGCCTGGTCCCTAATGCTGAAAGTGTTAGGAACCTCTGCTATAAAGGGATGGAAGGACACCAGGCTCGGTGGCTCAGCCTGTAATCCCAGAACTTTGGGAGGCCAAGGCGAATGGATTGCCTGAGCCCGCAGGTTCGAGACCCGCCTGGGCAACTTGGTGAGACCTCATCTCTACAATAAATCAAAAATTAGGTGGGCATGGTAGCGTGCGCCTGTAGTTCCGGCTACTTGGAAGGCTGAGTTGGGAGGATTGCTGGAGCCCAGCAGGTAGAGGCTGCGGTGACCGGGAGCATGCCACTGCGCTCCAGTCTGGGTGACAGAGTGAGACTCCAACTCAAAAAAAAAAAGGGACAGAAAGAAAGCATCCTAGTTTTTGCAGGCCAAGAGGCCAAACCAAGGATATTATGTACATACTTATAAAAGAGAGAAAACAGGGCCAGATGTAGTAGCCCACGCCTATAATCCGAATACTTTGGGAGACTGAGGCTAAAGAATCAATTGAGCCCACGAGTTCAAGATCAGCTGGGCAACATAGTGAAACCTCATCTCTACCAAAAAAAAAAATTAGTTGAGCATGGTGGCACACACCTGTAATCTCTGCTACTCAGGAGACTGAGGCAGAAGGATTGTATGAGCCCGGGGTTGAGGCTGCAGTGAGCATGCCACTGTACTCCAACCTGGGTGACAGAATGAGACTCTGGCTCAAACAAACAAAAACAAAACAAAAATTTCAGGCTCTGGTGATCTGAGGTGGGGCTGAGGTGGTGATGCTACTGCTGGGGAGTAACTGAATTCGGACTACCAGCATTCAAATCCCAGCATGCCAATTCCTAAATGTGTGATCTTGGGAAAGCTATTTAAACTCTGAGCTTGAGAGACAGCAAAAGGACTAACTTCTCAGTGTTGTTGAGACGATTAAATAAGAGCAACTGTGTATCAATGTAAGAAAAGTGTCTACATGTAAGCGGTCAATAAATGTTTAACAGTATTCTTAAATTCAGGGTCTATTAATATAAATAGTTAAAATTGAGTTAAATATTTTTCCATGTTAGTAATAGAGTGTCTAAATAATAATTGTACATGAATCTTTTTTGGACAATCCAAAGAGAAATTTTATATAAACATATTGTACTTTATGACTATTTCTTTCAAGCTGAATTCCTTCTCCATCTGGTTTCTCATGTACTCCTTCTCTCTCACTTTCTCTCCATTATATTTCTCTAGATCGAATCCGCAGAAGTATCTGGAAACAGTGTGGTATGCAGCTTTCTTCAGTACATGGAGAAGTCAAAACCTTGGCAGAAAGCATGGTGTGTGATCCCCAAGCAAGACCCTCTTGTACTGTACATGTACGGAGCCCCCCAGGTATAGAAACCACATCTGTCTCAAGGGGCATGTCCCTCGGGAACAGGGAGAGGCGAGGGGAGTGAACTCAGGATCCTCCCACAACTCCTCTATAGGATAAGAGAGCTCAGGCTTTCAGTTTCACGGCTTTTCATTAAAACTGAAAAATAGACTGGCTGTGGTGGCTCAGCCTGTAATCCCAGCACTTTGGAAGACCAAGGCAAGAGGATTGCCTGAGCCTGGGGATTCGAGACCAGCCTGGGCAACTTGGTGAGAACTCGTCTCTACAATAAATCACTAAATAAACCAGGCGTGGTCGCGCGCACCTGTAGTTCTAGCTACTTGTAAGACTTAGGATCACCTAAGTCCAGCAGAGTGAGACTCCAACTCAAAAAAAAAAAACCCTGAAAATAGCAAGTAACTAAAATTCAAGTTTGTTGTTTAAGCTGATTGATTCATTTTCTAGCCAGTGTTTCCTTCAACCTGTGGGTAATTTGTCCCCTTTCTTCTCTTATGCAGTGAGTTTGAGGAAGGATGATTGAAAGGTGAGGAGAGGAAGCAGAAAGAAAGCTTTTTTAATGATGAGACACTAATAAAAGCCTTTTTTTTTTAGTTAGGGTCTCACTCTGTTGCCCAGGCTGGAGTGCAATGGCATGATCATTATGACCACAGTTCACAACAGTCTTGACTTTCTGGGCTCAGGCAATCATTCTACCATAACATCCCTAGTAGCCAGGGCTACAGGCACATACCACCATACCTGGCTCATTTTTCTAATTTTTTTTTTTTGAAGAGACGGGATCTCACTGTATTGCCCAGTCTGGTCTCAAACTCCTAGGCTTAAGCAATCCACCCACCTCAGCCACCCGAAGTGATGGGATTACAGGCATGAGCCGCCCTGCCCAGCCAAGAAAAGACTTTTTAATTTTTATTTTTATTTTATTTTGTGTAGGTAGATATCTGAAAAACAAAGGAGTTTGAGAGGAAGGAGGAATTTAATTAATATTGTGGGATTAATATTCAGTGACGATTTTTTGAGAACCCTGTGTGTGAATCTGAGCTGCATCTGTGGGAACAGCTGATCTGCAGGTTTAGCTTCTACCACAAGCTCCTAGTACTGTGAATTGTGTTGTGCTTTTAAAAAAAATCCCATGTACAACACTTTTATCAATTATGTATTCACCTTGGAAATAAAAAATTTCAAATGTATCTGTTTTGTTTTTTTTATTGTTGTTGTTTTTGAGTTGTAGTCTCCTTCTGTCGCTTAGGCACTCTCATGGCCACTGCAGCCTTGACTTGCTGGGCTCAGGTGATTCCTCCACCTCAGCCTTCCAAGTAGCTGGAACCACAGGCGTGTGTCACCATACCTGGCTGACTTTTTAAATTGATTGTAAAGACGAGCTCTCACCATGTTGCTCAGGCTGGTCTCAAACCCCTGAGTTCAGGTAATCCTCTCACCTCCGCCTCCCAAAATGCTGGGATTAAAGGCATGAGCCACCATGCCTGATTTATGTTATCTTTTAGTTTATATTAAGGGCTAGCAAAACTACTGTATTTTGGAAATAGAATAAAATTTCCAAGGTGTGTATTTTATTCTACTTTATTATTTTTCTTGTAATCTTTTCCCTGTCCATAAATAAATGATAAATGAATGTACGAATCACCAGATTAAAGCACCTTTGTTCATGAAATCATCACTAATGCTTTCTGGTTTAATAACACTAAGAAGACTATTATTTTCTTCCCTTTTTCACTGATGGAGAGTTGAGTGGGCTACATCACAGAGAGGAGGGATTGCATCAATGATTACGTCCTGGCTGTTGTGGGCATCAGCTCTCATTCATTCAGCCACCCTTACCAGTGGCCTCATGTATAGACACTACACTACTGGGGTAACCCTCTCTGCCCATGGAGAACTGACCGTGTGAGTCGCGTGGTAGGAAGAGAGGCTATGTAGGAGCAAGGGCCACGAAGGTAGCAAGCAAATACATTTAACATTCTGGTGGCCCATGTTTTTTCCTTAGGATGTCAGAGCCCAGGCTACCATCCCACTCCTGGGTTACGTTGTGGACGACATGCCAAGGAGCGCAGACCTGCCACACAGTTTCAAACTGACCCAGTCCAAGTCCGTGCACAGCTTTGCTGCAGACAGTGAGGAACTGAAGCAGAAGTGGCTGAAAATCATCCTCTTAGCTGTCACAGGTGAGACATCAGATGGTCCGAGTGAGCAGCCAGCCACCTCGGACGATTACCCTGAACCTAAAAAAAAATCAGAATGCTGAACTACAGGACCAGCCACAGTGCAGAGGTCACAAGACTCACGGCTCAAGACATTCCCAGCTCTCCCTACTCATCTCTTTGCACTTTATGTTGAAAAATATAGGCTCATAAATACATCTTTTGGGGACTGTTTTCCTATGTTTATGTACTCTAGTGAAATTAGCGTGCAGAGCCATTCTACCGATAAAGTTTTGAAATAATGTGAAAAATGGAGCGTTTATTGAGCTAGTCCTTGAATACGTATTTTTGTCTTGAAGAAAAGAGTATCAATTGATTCTGTCACCATCAGGTTAGAATGAGCACTTTCATTTAAGAAATTCTTTAACGTCTTCTCTTTCACACGTAGGACCTGTAACAGTTTGAAAGATATACCTCCATGTTGCCAAAATAGATCCATAGTGAAAAATACAGGGACAGTTTAGGCTATTGTATTAACTTATTTAATTTAGTTTATAAATCTCAAACTGCATAAATGATGTCTGTTCTTTTAAAACAAAAGAAAAAGGACAAATTGTTGGTGTTCAGATTTTTGACTTATTAAGAAAATACTTGTTTTTGTAGAAGTACTCCTAAGAACACGATATCTTACATATATAGCAATTATGTATATATAGTATTAAATATAAATATATATCCTATACATGCCTTTCTCCTCAACTTTAGGTTCACACTCACCTCTAATTTATTTTTTAAATATGAAGCATGGTTTATCTTGGAATTGAGCAGTGTCCTAAACTTAAGAAATGTTTTTGGTGATTTATGTTTAACTGATTGGCCATCTAAGGATATTGGTATTTTTATAATAAACAGTAATTTATGTGGCATGGGATATATTCATGAACTCCAACAGTACATCTTTATTTTTATTTTTTGTTCTGTGCCTATTTAAAACAGTGCCTCTCTTAGAAGGTGCTATTAATACCTATTTAAATATAAGATGAGGGTTCAGTTAATGCTTCGGTCTTGATTATTCTGAAATTAAAGTACATTTTGGTCAGTAGGGAGTCAAAGAAACACAGATTATTTTACCCTTTTTTTTTTTGAGTTAGAGTCTCACTCTGTCACCCAGACTGGAGTGCAGTGGCCGCTCCCGGCCACCGCAGCCTCGACCTGCTGGGCTCCGGCGATCCTTCTGCCTTAGCCTTCCAAGTAGCCGGAATTACAGGCGCACACTACCACGCCGGCTTATTTTTTGATTTATTGTAGAGATGAGGTCTCGCCTGCCCAGGCAGGTCTCGAACCCGCGGGCTCAGGCAGTCCACTCACCTCAGCCTCCCAAAGGCGCAGGATTACAGGCTGAGCCACCGAGCTCGGCTTATTTTACCTTTTAAAGTCATATAATTGTTGCAGTAGTTGACATCAGCATGTACAAAAATTTTCACCAAAAAACACAGACCTGGGACATGTTTTTTGTACTATTTTTCTTTTCCACAAGATGGTCAAGCATGGTTAAATAAGGACTATATAATGAACATATATGATAACTGTGTGGACCTATTCTTTTGTCAGAAATGAAACAAAATTCACACAATTAAACTTATGTTTGGAGTGAGGGGGATAGTTATTTGATTCCTGGTCATGAAGGCTGCTCTACGCTATATTGTACTGTGATTAAAATATCACATTGAGTATTTAACTTAATCCTTTTCTCAAATTAGACCTTTTTTTCTTTACACTATCTTAGCCCAAACATTCTTACTTGCTAATGTACTAGTCTGCTGGAACTCCACAAGAATGACCCACTATTCTTAGTCTGTAAGGATTACACCCTAAATGAAGACTAGAATTGAATACTGACACCCATTTATTCACACCTTGTTACTTTAAGAAATAACTTATTTTTTCTACCCCAAAGGAATAAGTGAACCAATTATTACTGACATAATTAGGTTCCCTTCTTCCATAAAAGGAATGCCAGCCATGATCATTAACATTAAACCAAATACTTAGAGCCAAAAAGAGATAAAGTAGCTTCTCAGGCCCTGTTAAATCAGGGACAGACTAACAAATTTTGCATTGCTTCTCTTTTCTAATCACCAACAGGGTGTGTGTGTGACATGTGTTCAGAGTGGTTATTGAGAAAGTTAAACTAGAGCTATAGAGGATGCTTTGGTTTTCCTAATCTCCAGAAAAGGGAAACAGTGGAAACAGAATGATTATCAGGGGAGGATGACATTTGTAAATGTGGATAGAGCAATGGAAATGTATGGATCCATGAGGAGATTAATGAGTCAGATTATTTTTGAAAAAAAGCAGCAAGAAGACTATACTTTCTCTATCAATAAGTTCTTCTGGAATTGAAGTAACATGGACACAAGTTTTGGCTCAATAAACATCATCGTTGTTTAACTTAGATTATTGAAAGACTACTCATATAAAGATCTTTATTATCATGCTGTTAATGCATCTTTAATTTTTTTAATGGCTAGAAGAGAATGTCTGCTTATCCAGTCACCATCTTCACTTTTCCATTTAATTTCTCAGCTAATCACAAAGAGAAGCAGTGAAATAGCCTTCCCTGTTTCTCTCTTAATAAAGAATCACTCATGCTTTTACTTGAAGAAAGGTAAAGGAATACTCTTAGCCATTTGGTAAACAACTCAACTAAACCAAAACACCTCAAAGCATGACTGCTTATGTGAATAGTCAACGTCTCTCCTTTCTGAGACACCTGAGCAGTCATGACAAACAACCTTAAAAAGGTCATTGGTTTCTTTCCTATGAAAACCAACGTTCCCTGTGGGTCTTAATTCTATATTTTCTCTCATTTGGTGCTTTCCAAGTTATCTTTTCTTTAAAGTATCCTTCCTCCAAACTTAAGTACTTCTTTAACAAAATTGCTATTTGTTACAAAACATTCCAGTTTTTTAAACTTAAATTTTGCTTTTGTTGAAAGTCTACCATTTGGTGTGTTCAGTGTGAAATATAGTACAGACTTTTATCTTAGTTTTATGTGGGGCTCAATAATGAAAAACACCACCAGCCACTTTTGTAATTATGGCATCTACAATGCCATCATGTATGCAAGCAATAAAACTCTTCAGGGTATGGTTTTATACTAAAAATGTAATAGAAAGGCCCCTAGCCACAAGAATATAGAGAATTATTAACTTCCTAGATGAGATACTAGAATTCGAATTGAGAGTAGGGAAGGAAAAAATGTGGGGCGGAACATCATTCCTTGAATTCAAATAACTAGCAAAAACATTTTTACTTTCACAAAAGATGTAGATAGTGAAACAATTAAAGCACATCTGCATTACTTTATTAAGCTATATTTTGTTTTCCATAAAGTTTAATTCAGTATACAGGTTGGTGTACTTTTATTCAATGAGTGACCTACCACAATTTTTTTAAAATATCAATCTTTTAAAATTACCAAACTTTTTACAACTAATCTTTTAAATGGCCCCTATCCCCATTGATATACATTTGGATTTTTTAAAAATAGCACTTGTTCTAGTTATAAATGTATAAAGAAAACTATAGACTTTGTGGTACTGCAGGGTTGTTCAATATTCTTTGCTGCCTTCTAAAAACTTTATGTCAAAAACACTTTTGTGAGCTCACAATTCTGTTTTACCTTTTTTTGTCCCTACTTTGTGGAAACAGGGTGGTTGGTTTTGTTTTGTTGTTCTGGTTATAGTCAAAGCCTTATTCTGAGCATATAGTCTGTGATAAATTTCTGATGCTCTTCTGGACTAGATAAATCCTGAGAAACAAGCACCAATGGGAAGCAAATACTCTTCTAGGGAATAAAGGTCTTGTTTTTTGCAGGTATCCTTACTATAATGCAGAGTAGAAAATTAAGTGAAATTTCCTATATCTTATGATGTTTGTGTTAGCAGGTCTAAGATTAAGCACATGGTATTTATAAGCTAAAATTAATTTGAAAGGCAAGAATGTCTTAATGTTTTTATTCTTAAATGTTGTATTCTCTAAGAATGTATTATTATAAGAACTGCAGCCGACCAGTTTCTATCTTAGGACTATATTGACATCTATAGTGGATCATGTTGCTTCTTCATTCTTAGCCAGTTTTATTAGAATCAAACTACTTTTTATTTTCATACTATTATCTACTATAGATTCTCAGATTTAGAAAATATAGGTATGATATATAAAGACCATTAGGTCTACCGAAAAAACCCTTTCTGTGAATTTATACATGTATGTATATATGTAAAAAAAATACACTGTTGATTTTCAGTTCTGTCTTTCCATAGGAATGAAATTTTTCTATAAAAATTTTTTAACTTAAATATTTTAACATAAATTATTTACATGGATTTTTATGTATGATTCATCCTTATATATGCCCCTTAATCATGCAGTCATGAGAAGATAACTGTGCTTTCTTTACAGACAAGGATAGAGAGGAAAGATTAGAAACTGAAACAAATAAGAATGGACAGAGAGGTGGACAGAAGAAGACTGTTGGTCTCCAGATCAGAGCAATGTCTTTTAAGATAAGAGGAAAATACTTAAACTGCAGAAAGGATATAAACTATAAAATGTAAATTTATGTCATTGCATGCTGATGGAATCCATTGTACCAGGGCTTATGACCTTGGCCTCTAAATTATAGAATATAATATATTGTCCTTCCTGGGTTTCCCTCCTCCATTTGAGCTGTTAAAAATAATTTCATTCTCATATTATACACTGTCTGCTGAGGTAAAAAAAAAAAAAATTATCCAAAGTCAATCATGGTCTTCTACTTTCTGGACTAAGCATTTGGCAGAAACAGTGTCTTTTCCTGTGTTTTGAGATAAAAGAGCACATGGCTTCTATATTTTTAACTTGTAGGGGTCACTGAGAATTATACGATTGTCACCCCTTTTCCTAAAAGTCATTGTGGTAGATTTAGTGGAAAATTAAATCAAGAAATCTCGTAGCATATTTTAATAAGTAAATACCAAATACATAGTGAAATATAGGTTGGGGAAAAAACATTAGTCTGTGGGGACCGTTATGATAACAGAATTGCAGAATTGCATTATATATTATAATAGTATATGGATATGGGAATGTATCACTTGGGGGGGTGTCTCTTCATTAGCAAAACAATCATGTTGTATATGACTTTTTTTTTTTAACCAAACTAGCATTTCATTTTGTGAGTGACAATTGACTGATAATAAGTGTTATCTGAATTTTTCTTTGGAACTGTTGGAAAGGTTGAAAAGGTATGTTATCAGAACTTTACAGTTGACTCAAATGTGAAAGTATATACAACAAGAAATTTTTCTTTTCTAGCTAAATGAATGTAAAATACTTGCAGATAGTGTATATATTGTGTAACATATGTATATTTGGTCATAAAGGCAGAGAATTGGAGACATTGTAAAATTAAGCACTTTAATTCCTATTAAATATTAAACATTTGTATCTTGTAAATAAACACATCCTTAAATCAGTTCTGAAGCTTTAGATGTTATTTCAGCCAGAATTATACATGTTCAGCTTACAATGATTTTGGTCGGCTCAGGAAAAAGTTACTACAGTAGGGAACTAATGCTCCTTTGTCACCTCCAAGCCACCTTCTCAGGCTCCCCCAAGCACAAGCCTGTGTAAATGTCTTTCAAGAATAAAGCTATAAGCCGGGCTCGGTGGCTCAGCCTGTAATCCCGCACCTTTGGGAGGCTGAGGTGAGTGGATTGTCTGAGACCGCGGGTTCGAGACCTGCCTGGGCAGTGAGACCTCATCTCTACAATAAATAAAAAAAAATCAGCTGGGTGTGGTAGCGCATGTCTGTAATTCCGGCTACTCGGAAGGCTGAGGCGGAAGGATCGCCGGAGCCCAGCAGGTGAGGCTGCGGTGGCCGGGAGCGGCCACTGCACTCCAGTCTGGGTGACCGAGTGAGACTCCATCTCAAAAAAAAAAAAAGAATAAAGCTATGACAAACCCAAGTTTCCCTGGGTATAGAGACAATGGTTTCCTCTATG